TTAGCCCAAGAAGAAGTTTGGATGCTCACCTTAGAGGGAAAAGGGCGCATGGATTGTTGTAATGGGCTTGGATGGTCCAAGACATTATTAATAAATTTAATTAGTTAAATAATTATATAATGTTTAAATTTAAAATTTAAATTATGAATTTAAATATTTGAATATTTAATTTAGAATGTTCAAATTTGAATTGGCTATGAAAGGAAGTTTCATAACTGTAACATCCCGTAGAAATTAGGAATGTATATAAACTACCATTAGTAGTGTTAATACAAGTCTTGAACTCGAAAGATATATATATGTATTCAGGAGGGAATAAATTTGAGTTAGGAAAATTAATTTTGTGCATGCATGTTATTAGGAATAAGTAGGAATATTTCTTGAATTTGAATATTAGTGTAAGTATGTGATTAATTTTAGTTCCATGAATAAACCCTTTAGTAAATAATTAGAGGGTAACATAAAATAATAATGCGTGAGATAATTCACAAGTTAGGAGAGCATTTGACTTGAACGCTATTTGTTGTTTGTACGTGGTTGCTGAATGGTTATGTTTGAATTTATTGGTTGTTTGTATATGTTTGTTGTATGGTTGCTGTTTGAATATAACTGTTGCATGGGTTGTTAACTAAAATTTATGTTCCTTTAGGTGTGATGGTACCGGTAGTGCCCGGTATTAAGCATGGCTGTGCCCATTCCCTTGCTAGGTGGTGAGCCTAATCAACTCACTGTCGCGCAAGATGTGTGTGCACGATCATGGTTATCACGGGGTACACTTGTGTCTGAGCACTATGTGTGAAATCATAAATTGCTGCTTGCATTACTATTTAATTATCAATTCTGTTTCCTATGGATTATAAGCAAGGTTTTATATATATATATATATATATATATATGCTTGATGTGAATATTTTGTGATATTCTAAGCCGTGAATGATGTCATGTAGTCTTTAGATAATGACTGATGCGTACTTGCCCTTGGGGTTTATGCTGTTTCCTTGCATGTGTGGTTGTGTATATAGCTGGATAGTAGAAACTGTTATTCTTCACTAACTCTGTTATGTTACTTAATTGCGTAAGGAGTTAATATGTTTGAGAAGAGTAGCAGTGATTGAATTGTGAAAATTGATGTAGGGATAGATCACTTATCTAAGTAGATTAAGTTAATACCCTTAGAAAATAGAATTGGATTTAATTAAGGTTTAAACATGTCGGTCCGCTATCCTTACAAATTTTCTAATGGTGAATTAACACTAGACATCATTCTTGAGAAAGAAGCTGTGAAACAAAGTGGGGTCGAATAACTTGACTAATTTGTTTATGAATTATGAATTTCTTTACATTGACGTTGTAGTGAATCTTTTGTAACTCTAGTCTATGTCACCGAGTTATAGTTCTAGTATACTTTCAAAGTAACTTATGCAGCATACTAACTGACTAGGCCCTATTTCCCCAAACACCTAACTGATCTCATAAATCAACTTGTGGCTTTCTATCTGCAATTTGTTTGTCGTAGGAAAATTGGTCTTGTATGTGTCCCAACAATCTGATGATAAATGAAAACTTTGGATAGCCGCTGTATGTGCGTGTCAATATTCTTTGGGTTACAAATACTATGAGTTACATGCAATAGTGGTCTACAGGTATTGCATCCTTACTTGCTGTACATGATTTATTAATTTAATAAAATTGTGGATTCGAAAATTTGACGTCTGTATATACTTAGGACTTTAGGTTTGATTTACTTTATGAATACCATCATATTGATTTGGTCAATTTCGGTTTCCCTATTTCTGATTAGTACTTTATTTAAATCGTCGAATACTTGGTTACATGTAATGTTTTCTTTAGCTGCATAGTTCGGTTTTCCTGTTGAGTGAACTACAACTGAAATTGTTGAGCTAGTTAACTGACTATAGACGCAAACCAACACCTATTTCATCTAGCATACTATGTGAATTTTTTTTTTTACCATTCTAACCGAGCCTTACTAATTTGTCCTAGTCTCCAACATTTAAGTGTTACATACTCTTACATATAATATACACCTTATAAACGCTCCCGATGTATAAACATGCAATTTTCATGCCTAGTGGTTCAAGTGGTCGAAGCAATCATAAGTTGGCACGTTGGGTGCATGAGCATGCAATTTTACATATGCACCATTGTCCGTATGTGGGTCTGCACGCTGTTAAAGTAGTGTCTGAAATGTACTTGATCTTCCTTGGTTGGCTAATATGAATTGAAAGAAAGTTATGTTTTTAATTAAATACTCGGCACCTGACGTATAGGTTGTTCAAACTATCTTGATTGATACATTTTGTTTGTGCCATAACATGAATTTATGGAGTGTTATTCATTATATCCTCGCCATACTGCACAGTATCTGATTCCAAAAGAAAATTATATTTTTGCCATAAATATCGACCCTTAAATTGCATCAATGCACTATATGATTTGATTGAACTACTAACGGAGAAACAGTGAGTCTATAATTTTCCTACTCTATGTTAAATTATGGGATCAACCATTCTCTTGATTTAATTGCATGTGTACTCGAGTCCTAGATTTAGATTAATGTGAAACTCCCATACCTCTGTTCATGTTGTTGGGAACTGTTAATTAATTATAGAGAAGACCTTAGAGCTAGTTACTGGTTAGAACTCTCATGCTATACTTGCATAGTTCCTTGGACGTTTAACCTAAAAACTAAGTATGTGATATAAGAGTTAAGTCTAATGTAAGCACCCTGATGTTGTGTAATTGAAACTAAACCGATATAATATTCAATCTTTGACTTAACTACGCTGCTGCAAACACCATGCTTAAAAGTTGATATTGTTTTGCGTACATCGTGATATATGATTTTTATTTTTGAAATGTTCTTATCGAATAGATTTATTGCTGCTTGTATGGATGTGATTAGCCATTCGACTAATGAACTTTGAATTCGGTGTTTTTCATGCATGAAGTCTCGTACTGTAAAAAATTTAGTAGTCCCTCAAATGCAAATTTAACCACCGCTAGGAACTTTAAATGTGATTATTGTGAACTTGGATTGTGAAAGCTTGGCCTGTTTCAGTGGGTTATATTGATAGCTGTTTCAAAATGGTAGTATGTGTCAATGTGTGGAGAGTTCACATCATGGGTAATGGATCCTCCGATCAGTGGAGTCAATTACATCCGAGGTACCTAGGACAGCGGAAAGCTCGGGGAAGTTTCCTCATAGGGGTGTTTTGACGAACTATATGAGGGGTACCACTTAACATGATATGTCTGAAAAGTAGAATAGAGATTTTGTGATTTTATGAAGACTCCTTTCATTTGAAAATTGGAATGTGATGTGTCCTGTTCTATTCCCTGACTTTCTGAAAGCTTATAAGTATGGAACCCTGTCTATGATTTGATTTAGTAAGGTAATTAATGTAAAAGTCTGAAATTAATGCGAATGTGTGAGGTGTTTAGTGAGTGAACTGAGTCGTTGGTAAGATTTTAGTTAGGAAGTAATGGCACTTCTAAATTGTAACATGTACATTGCAAAGACGAAACATTTGTAAATTGAGATCCTTGTTAATTAGCCTTATCCTTGCGCAGAGAATAGGAGGTAATATTACTTATTATTAGATGGAACCCTACATTCTAAGGAACCTTTTCATTTAGGCCATTGTCTTGTTAAATGCATTTCATATGGAAACATGTAAATTTAAGACCAGTCAAGTAGTAGTATAGTGTGATGTTAAGGGTGAGTGATGATATAGGGATATTGAGAAGCCTCTTTATATTGTCATGTTCTACTGCATATGTTATAATTTTGTATCGAATGAATGAAAATTTTGGTCATTTATGCCACCCTAGTATCATTTGTTAAAGTGATATAGTGAAGAAGTGTTTGTGAATAGATTTGTTTAGTTTGCCAACCGAATGTGTGCTAGATCCATGAGCTCTTTATAAATATTGATAGCTGGGGTTCTTGGTTAGTAACCTCATACATCGGTTTTACTCCATTTTGTGATAGCAAGATTTGTGGTGTTGACAAAGAAAAGAAAAGAAAGATAACTAGATGTTTATTTTGTTATGAAAAAGTTTAGAAATTTTTGTTATCTCCTTCCATGAAAAAAAAACTTGGATATATGTATATATATATCTGACGTACAGGTAAGGTGCTAATTGTTGTAGTAATCGGGTCGATGTTCAATGACCTTATAGAGGCCTATCTAGAAGTAACATAATGTAGTGCATGAATGGATTTGTGTTAGACCTTTGAAATAAGTAGCTTTTGGAATGATAGGACGAAGTTTGGGGACAAACTTCGAAATTTGGTGGGGAGAGTGTAACATCCCGTAGAAATTAGGAATGTATATAAACTACCATTAGTAGTGTTAATACAGGTCTTGAACTCGAAATATATATGTATTTAGGAGGGAATAAATTCGAGTTAGGAAAATTAATTTTGTGCATGCATGTTATTAGGAATAAGTAGGAATATTTCCTGAATTTGAATATTAGTGTAAGTATGTGATTAATTTTAGTTCCATGAATAAACCCGTTAGTAAATAATTAGAGGGTAACATAAAATAATAATGCGTGAGATAATTCACAAGTTAGGAGAGCATTTGAACTTGAATTTTAGAATCCAATTCTCCTCTATGGCCGACGCCCTAGTACCCTTAAGTGGGGATTTTGTTCAGCCTTAATCTCTTAAAAGTTCTCACACCTTATCTCAAATAAATCTACATGCTTGCCATGCATTGGTTGAGCAATTACACATGGCAAAACCCCACCCACTCTTGTATTCCTTACATGCACCTAATGTAAAGAGAAAATTCTGATTACTTGCACTTTTGGACAAAGCAAATCTGTCCCAGTCTCCACATGCAACCAATAGGGGAAAAGGTAATCTACTTGCATGACATTCCATTGGTCAAGAGCCACACCTCATCACTCCATTCTCTTATCCTTGTGCGCAAAGTAGTGAACCAAGGAGCTGAGCGTTAATCAATAATAGAGAACCATTCAGCCACTCTAACTCTCTCCCTCATTTGTCTTCAAGTCGTGAATTCCTTAGAAAAATATTCGGATCAGGCATGTCTTTGAACCAAGAGTAGTCCTAAGTGATCATTTCCCATTTTCCCTACAAGCGGCAAACTCCAAATAGATGACCCAAACAGCAAAGCTTATCTTCTTCAATCTATCTCCTTATTCGATCGTACAGCAAGCAGTAAGCTTTCATGTGTTTGACTCCTTCATCCTATCCTCTAAACCGTCGATCTCTAAGAGGTGAATCACAATACAAGCCTTCATCTCATTTCCTCAAGGGTCCAGCCATTTGCAGCAACTAGGGAGATTGCTCATGAGCTCTTCCTCCACCTCTTTCCCTTGTTCGGCCAAAGGCCCTTCTTCAAGGAGGTGAGGTATTTGCTCCTTTTCTTTGTCCAACACACCTTGGGTCGATTCTGATTGAGTTCACTTTCCAATGCATGCACATGTTTCGGTCTTAATCTAGCTCCTTCCCCTTCTTCATGTTGACTTAAACGCGAGTTATGGAGCATAGGAAGGAGGATGGGCTGCTTCTTGGTCGATTTGTGGTCTTGGGTGCCGATGCAAGAAAAGGTAAGTGAACTCTCAAGATCTTTCTTTATCCCCTGCTATTCAGCCAGTATATGCATCCAAGAAAAATGTAATGGGTCCTTCTGTCTTCATTATTTTTAGTGCAGCCGTGTAGCCAAGGTTGTAGTGCATGCTAATTGTTTCAAGGAATTTTGTGAGATTGGAAGATAACTCTATATGGATTCGTGACTGTTTCTTTGGACCAATCTAGTTGTAAAACCTTGTATGTGTTAATACCTTTAAGGGCAGCATGTTAAAACATCAATAATTCATTCCTGAATCGTATGGGTGGGGTTGTGTCAAGCGAAAAAGAGTAAGCACCAAATTGAGGGCTAAAAACCGAACCTTTTTATGTAAGAGACTTTGGGATTTTTTTGCTGATCATGTTGGTAAATTAATGTGATGTCAGGAATTGGTTTAGTGTAAGACTATGGGTATTCGTTTAAAATTTAAAGGGATAACTTTAAAGGGACAGCATGCTGTATGCCTCATTAGCTCACTCTGAATATTGTAAACATGGTTATTTAAATGATAAATGGATAGCTTGTTGTCAATTTTATTCTCTTAATTCTGCCATGTTTAAACCGGTTGGGCTGTGTGCTTGCAAGCACAAGGAATTGTTTTTGGAGCTTGGAATAAAGCCTCCATTGTTGAGTTGTTGTTTTGTTAAATTAGAATACGACATCTGGGAATGGAATATATTACTGTATCAACTTTATATGAATTAAATTAAATTAACAGCATGTTTTGGGTCCTCTGTAACGCACCCAGGCTTAGTTGGTTTGGTTATTTAAGTAAAATTCTGAATATCCTTTTGAATGCTAAAAAGAATCGAAATTGCATATGAATGAGACCTTGGATTTTCGCTGTTAGCTAGTTAATAAAAAAGGGGCATGAAGTCAGAAAAACAAGTTAGTAAAGGACCCTTGGAAATCGTTCAAATACTAAGGATTGGAAGTATGGATAGCACTTATAAATTCTAGGAGTCAAATTCTGAAATTCTGTTTGGTTTCTCTTGCTTGATTAGGTGCACATAACCTTTGAGTGTGGACTGAATTTGCTGCTGTATGATTTATATTGAGGCACACCAAGGTATGTGTTTGGTGGTGAGACCTATTGTGACTATTAGCTAGCGTATGGAATTTTGAATTGATGCTCACATGTGCCTTATGATTAGTATTCGGTTATATGTTATATGTATTCTGCCTTTGCATTTGACATGATGGAAATTTCGTTTTGGGAATTAATTGTGATTCGGCAGCTTGGTATTAAAAGTACGAGAAATATATACTATTATGATCTAGTCATGCATATGCACCTCATGATTCATCTGTTTCTGTCTGTGTGTGCCAAACATGTCATAGCATACAGCATTATGCACTCATTTTGGAAGCCGAAGTATATAATAAAATAAGCATACGTTTGAGCACGCATCATATAGGCATCCCTCCGGTACCAGGGTATGGGACACTTGGCTTCAGTCCGCATAGGTCGCGGTTGGAACCCTCTTGAGGAGCCATTATGGGATCTCCACTGTGCTTGTTAGTACGTGCACTGCAGTGCTATGAACATATATCTTTGGCGTTATATACGCATCTTGATTAGTATTTTGGCGTTATATATGCAATATGATTAGTACTTTGGCGTTATATACGCACTATGATTATATGTTAGCACCTATCCGAAAAATTATATGTTGATGCGACTGTTTTGGAATTTTGTACCTAGTCTAATATTGTGGCAATACTGGTTTTACTATCACACTACTGGGATTCTTTCTCACCCCTTTTGGGGCTCAATTTTTATAAATTGTAGGGAGACGAAAAAGGATTTTTTTTTATGAAGTATTTGATTTGGACATGTTCTGCTTGTTTGCTGCTGCTTTGGAAATTATGCTGTTGTCCACCATTTTTGTTAGTTGTTGACTGATTAATGATGTTGATTTAATATTTTGTGATATCGGAAAAATGTCAGAACCTGTCTTAAATTGGTGTATTATGAGACTTTATGGTCAGCACCTAACTTGCACTATTCTGATTATATTTTACAAAAACAATTCATGAACGTTTTGAATGCTAAGTTATAAACTGTTTTGCGAGCACTTTACGAGTTCCACTTCTAGGGCTACAGATCTCCGATTTACTTATGCACGCGTAGCCCCATATGTCTATTTTCAGATTATATAAACTTTATAATGAAATTTTGAAAGCTCAATTTATTATAATTTTTGCAAGTCAGGTCGTTTTGAAACATTGCAATGATTTGCCTTGTATTTTTGCGAGTTCAGTCTCGGGAGCTAGACACCTCCGAACGAAATAATTTTTATATGCTCATAACGCCCCGGATGTCTAGTTTTCTTGTGTCAAAGAAGTTTGTTTTAAGCTATTGAATCCAATTTGATATGATTTTTTCAATGCAGCAAGGTTTTTGGAAAACTACTATTTTCAGCAAGCAATGTATTTTATGAAGCCTCACGCTATTTTTTTCACGTGCAACCAGATTTCATTGAAGATCTTATTTAATTGACTTAAAATCATAGTGCAGTATTTAAATTAATTCTGCTCCGACTCTAATCCGCTTAGCAGATGACTCCCTTGGACGCGTACAGGGAGGGTGTCACAATAACAAAAGGAATGGATAAGATCTTGATAGTATCTTGTCAAGATCAAATCCTAAGTATCAAGAGGAGATATTTGGACATCATCAAAGATGATTGGGGCGCTGATTTGGTGGCTTAATGCTGGTCATTTAATCAACAAATCAAGCTCCATTCAGATTTGGTTGGTTGTAGAAATATTTGATTTAGTTGATTCAATTTGAATTGCAACTAATCAATATTTTTGGAATGATTTTGGGCTGATTGGGGTGCACAATATGGCTGATCATATAATGGTTATTAGGTCAAAATATTGACTAGGTGCAGACTTAGTTTTAAGAGGATAGGATAGGAGTTTGTTGACTATATTTGATTTGCAACAACTCCATTCTTTCCTCCACAAAAGGGGCGCTCCATGATCAGATTTTTGGTGAAAAAAATCTGATTCAAATTTATTCCTCTTTCATCTCCTTAAGTTTTTTCCTTTTGTGATATTCTCCTTAGGGTTTTTGGAAAATAAAAAGGCCATTCTCTTCTACAATTTGTGCACTACTTTGTGTGATTTTTATGGCTGAAAATTCTCTCATCTAAACATAATAGAACCGAGCTTCCTACCTCTTCACAAGGGACGCCTAGCTTGCTCCTTTGTGGTGTTTGAATTGGTGGCTTTTCAAGAAGAGTTCTTACGTCTTGACAAAGGGTGGTGTGGATCAACATTAGAGGGTTTGAACCTTCAAGCCTAACACTGATCACCTTCGAGTTTTGAGTTATGAATAAGTTATCTCTGTGTCCTAGAGTACGTATCTTGATTGGTATGTGTGTTTCCGCTTTGAAAATTTTTTGTTTTCATCCTCACATGCCTACGGCCTTCAAGGCTCTATCTTTCAAGTGGTATCAGAGCCCGGTTGCTTTACCATAGACGGGTGATGGTACTTTGTTTGTAAAAATTTATTCTTCACGGTCAAAAATTCTTTAAAGATGTTAAAGATTGATTCTTTGCATGTGGATATAAAATGTTAAAGATTGTTTTTTCATGAACTTGATTAATATGATTATGATGTTCATATATCTACGTGTACTCAGGGTTTTGTTTCTTTATATTCTTTGTGAAAGTTTTCAAAAGAAACATTTTTTTGGAAAAGAATATGATTCGGCCATGATGTGAATATTCAAATGCCTTGTTTTCTCCATGATCTTATGGCATATCTCGACTACATGTATAAAAGAAGGGTTCTTGATTTTGTTTGAATTGTTAAAAAATTTTGTGATAAAATTTCCAATAAATGAGCATGTATGGTTCGGCCATATTGAGATTATAGTTATATGTATGATTTAATTTATGTTCTTTGAGAAAGAATTGACAAAGATTTGAATTATGTATAAAGATGCACGATTCGGCCATTTGGAGAAAATTAGGAAATTTTGAATTTTGATTCTTGTTTTGATATTTTAATTGTTAAATTATCAAAATATATGTGAGAATATATTTAATTGTGTGCTTGCAAGCTGTTTAACTTTTCAGGTGCAAATTGGAAGGGGATGGTCATGGTGCCCGAATTTAAATTTTAAATTTTAAATTTTAAATTAAAGGTGTAATTTTGCTCTATTTAAATTAGAGATGTAAATTTGAATTTTAAATTTTTGTATCTTCATTTGTCCCTCCAAAGATGTTTTGGAGTTTCTTTAATTATTTTGTAATTAGAGAATTAGGCTAGTGGCGTTTAGACGAGTAGAAGCCGTGGCCTAAGGAGCAAGATTGAAGAATGCGCGAGCATCATAACTGTCTCAAATAAAACTGTTTTATATGCTTGTATATTTTAAAACGACTAGTATGCATGAGATAGTGTATCGCGGATGTATGCTTTTATGTTTTAAAACGACTAGTATGCATGAATTGGACAAATCGCGTTTGTATGTATTATTGTGCACGTCCATTTACGACTAGTGTAATCCGATAGATGTTTGACATAGGTGACAACTAGCATAATAATAATACATACGCGTTTGATGAGGCTTAGTAAACCCTAAATAAAAGGAACCCTTAAAGGAATCAATTATTAAGTGTATGATTACCTCCCACCACCAATATTACTCAAACCTCCTCTAAATAGTGGTGCTCTACAACTCAGTTGGGACCCACTGTTTCGTTGAGTGAGAGAAGTATTAGAAGTGTTAGACACTTAGGGTGCTGGTTAGTGCTTAACTGAACGCATGAGTTGCAGGCCCAGTTGGGCTCATGTGCTTAAGGTAATAGTGCTAGGTTGGTTGCATGAGATGCAGTACTAAGTGACAAGGAGTTGTCAACCTAATGTTAAGAGAGGGTATGAGATACTGTTGATAAGGATCAACCCATTATTTAATTTAATCTTGCGGTCTTAGACGAGGGTTAAAATAAATGATCGCACTCTTAAAATCCCACTAAGGTAAAATCTAAAAGTAGAATAACCCTAAGTCAAAGTTAAGGGTCATTGACTTGGATAAAATAGTGGGAGGGGCATATTATTTAAAAGTCTTTAATAATCTTTTCTTATTACATGACAATATTAATTAATTAATTTATCTTTACATCTTTTTCAATTTTTAGAATGACTAACCCACTGTCACTGCGCTCTATACTCGATACAAACAAACTGACCGGTTCAAACTTTAAGGACTGGTATCGCTACTATGGCACGTTTCTTGCAGGGGTTGAATAGTGATATAAGGGATGTTGTGGAGTTGCAAAATTATGTGGAGTTGGAGGACTTAGTGCATCAAGCTACTAAGGTAGAACAACAACACAAGAGAAAGAGTGTCATGAGAAGGAGCTCTTCTAATTTTAATTCTCCAAGTTGGAAGGAAAGAAGACATAAGAAGGATGGAGGTACTTCCTCAACCAATTCCAGTGCTAAACCTCAAAAGACTCAAACTAAGTCCAATGAGGTCCCTAAAAGGACAAGGAGTAGTGAAATAAAATGCTTCAAGTGTCTTGGAAGAGGTCACATAGCTTCAGAGTGTCCAACTAAGAAGACTATGCTACTTAAGGAGGATGGAAAGATTATTAGCGATTCTTCTTCAGATTCTGCCCCACCTAGTGATGAAGAGGAGTATGAAGAGGAAACTATACCGGAAGGAGATTTGTTTATGGTGAGAAGGATGTTGGGCAGTCAAGCAAGAGACGTGGATGAGAGCCAAAGGGAGAACATTTTCCATACTAGATGCCTCATCCAAGGAAAGGTATGTTCTTTAATTATTGATGGGGGGAGTTGTACCAATGTTGCAAGTGCTAGAATGGTGTCTAAATTAGGATTGGAGACTAAACCTCACCCACAGCCATACAAGCTTCAATGGCTTAGTGAGGATGGTGAAGTGACTGTAAGTAAGCAAGTGGAGTTGGATTTCTCCATAGGGAAGTATGATGATACAGTTTTGTGTGATGTGGTGCCCATGGAGGCTTGTCATTTGCTTCTTGGGAGACCTTGGCATAAGAAAGTTATACATGATGGATACACCAATAAATTCTCTTTTGTACATAAAGAACGCAAGACAACTCTTGCGCCTTTGACTCCATGAGAAGTTAGTGAGGATCAATAAAAAATGAGAGATAAAAGAAAACAAGAGAGAAAAGAAAAAGTGAGTGAAAAGAAAAGAGAAAAAGAGAGTGGAAGAGAACAAGAGAAGGAGAGGAATGCACCGAACCAGTTTATAAAAGAAAAAGTGGTTGCATTTGCAAAAGCCAATGCTTTTACTTTTGAGTAAAGAGAGTAATTTAAAAGATGCAGGTACTACTAACTCTCTTCCAAATGAGGTTTCTTCTTTGTTGCAGGAATTTGAAGATGTCTTTCCCAAAGAGGTGCCTCAAGGACTACCCCCTCTAAGAGGCATAGAACATCAAATTGATCTCATTCCAGGAACTTCATTACCTAATAGGACAGCTTATAGGAGTAACCCCCAAGGAACCAAGGAGATTCAAAGGCAAGTTGAAGACTTGATGCAAAAGGGGCGGGTGCAAGAAAGTTTAAGTCCATGTGCAGTTCCAGTCATTCTAGTGCCTAAGAAAGATGGGACTTGGAGGATGTGCACTGACTATAGAGCCATCAATAATATCACAGTAATGTATAGACATCCCATTCCTAGATTGGATCATTTATTGGATGAATTGCATGGTGCTTGTTTCTTCTCTAAAATTGATCTGAAAAGTGGATATCATCAAATTCGGATTAGAGAAGGGGATGAATGGAAAACAGCTTTTAAAACTAAATATGGGTTGTATGAATGGTTGGTTACATGTCGTGTGTCGGATAATTTTCCTCACGAGGCTTCAACTGCCTAGAAGAATAAGCAACCACTCTCCTCTCTTGCATCAACACATTCCCCAAACCTTTCTTCGAAGCATCATAGTATAATTCAAACTCACCTTCCGGATCGGGAAGAGTCAACACATGAGCAGTAGTCAATTTCTCTTTAAGAGCCAGAAAACATTTCTCACATTCTTGGGTCCACACAAAAGGAGTATCCTTTCGTGTCAATCGAGTCAACGACATAGTACCATTGTGGAAAACCCCTCTATAAATATACGATAATAACCAGCAAGACCCAGAAAGCTCCGGATCTCAGTCACAGTCTTCGGTCGTTCCCAATCAATTACAACATCGATTTTGTTTGGATCCACTGCAACACCCCTAGCAGAAATAACATGACCCAGAAATTGCACCTTAGATAACCAAAATTCACACTAGATGGCTTCGCATGCAACTTTTTATCCTTTAATATTTGCAACACAGTCCTTTGATGCTCCGTATGCTCTTCTTCACTTTTAGAATAAATTAAAATGTCATCAATGAACACAATTACAAACTGGTCCAAATACGGTTTAAAAATGTGATTCATATAGTCCATGAACACCGCAGGGGCATTAGTAAGCCCAAAAGGAATCACCTGATACTCGTAGTGTCCGTATCTAGAATGGAATGCCGTTTTAGGCACATCCTCTGGCTTAATCCGGATCTGGTGGTATCCGGACCGGAGATCAATCTTGGAAAATACACAAGCACCCCTCAACTGATCCAGCAAATCATCAATACAGGGCAATGGCTATCTGTTCTTAACCGTAACCTTATTCAACTGCCGGTAGTCAGTACACAATCTCATGCTTCCATCCTTCTTTTTCACAAATATAACCAGTGCTCCCCACGGAGACACACTCGGCCTAATAAAATCCTTTGCAGTTAGCTCCTCAATATGTTTCCTCAACTCAGCCAACTCCAGTGGCGACATCCAGTATGGAGCCAAAGAGATAGGCCCCACACTAGGAAACAATTCAATAGAAAACTCAAACTCTCTCTCAGGTGGGAATTTCGGTATCTCATCAAGAAATACATCCATAAATTCATTAACCACCAGAATACTAGAGATCTCTATCTCCTTATCACCCACCAATCCACCTAAGAAAACATAACCCAGATCACCAACCTTCAAGGCTTTAATTGTTTGATAGACAGACAAAAAAGGAGACGGACAAACCGAGGGCTTCTCGTGAGATAATATCAACCTCTTGCCACATCAATCAATCATTGCGCAGTTTTGAGACAACCAATCCATACCCAAAATCAAATTAACAGAGGTCAGGGGCAAGATAATCAAATCAATAGTGTAATGCCTTCGTAGATAAACCCAACCTCTTTACAAATAAAGGAGGAATCACTAACCTCTCTTGTAGCAGTAGTAATACGCATTGGGGAATCATTCGTGTTACTCTTAACCCCAACCCCTTAGCAACATATTCCGCAACGAACGAATGTGTCGCTCCCGAATCAAATAAAACAGACAAATCAATATTAGAGATAAAAGTTATACCTTTAACCAGATTCGGTGCCTTCTCTGTCTGCTGCGCATTAATAGTGTAAACACGTCCAACTGTAGGAGCAGATGGCAAGGCCTACGGATTCGCAGCCTACCCAGTATTACTATAACATTCTCTAGCAAAATGCCCAACCTTACCACATTTAAAACAAGAATTCGGAGCCGTAGTACAAGGACCCCGATGGTACCTCTTACATTTATCACAGTGCGGAGTAGAATTTCTATCATTAAAACTGCTCCTCTGACCACCACCCCTCTTGAATTGACTAGGAGGCTGCCTTACCTGCAACCTCTACCTCTGTTATTATTGTGATGGTAGCCACCTCTATTATTATTACCAGAAGGACCAGGTGCCATCCTATTATCCTGCTCTCTCGAAGAACTAGACTTCGGATACCTGCCATAAACAGTTTCAACCCTTTTGCAATGGGTCACCAAATCAGCAAAATTCCTAAGAGCAGTATTAGACATTCTCTTTGCTATCTTCTCATTTAAGCCCCTCTGAAATTTAGCAGATAGAAACTCAGGAGTTGGCAACATACCCCCGTAGTTCGCAAACTTAACCAACTCATTAAATTTCGCCACATAGGCATCAACAGTCATGGTACCCTGTACCAATTTATCAAATTCACCCTGCTTGGCTTCCCGAACATCCTTGGGAAAATACTCTTCATGAAATAGTCTTTCAAATAAAGCCCAAGTTATTTCCTCCCCCTGAATAGTAAACGGGCGAGATGCGTTGTACCACCACTCGTGGGCATCCCCCTCAAGCATGCATATAAACAGAATAAAGCAGTCTCTAGGGATCCTGGCACCTCATAACCTGAAATATTTTCTCCATCCCCATCAGCCAGGTAGTAACTACTTTCGGGTCCCTTGATGTAACACCCCGTGTATACCTGGTTTGTTAACATATCATCGTATTAAGCCACGCTTTATTAAAAATGCGGAATATCTTTTTCTTTTCAATTATGACGTCCTTAAACTTAGCCAAGTTAATTACTTAA